AGGGAGCGTGTGGGTACATAAGCGGAGATGCGGTCACGGAGGTAGGCTATTGCCAACAACACTATTGCCAACAAACAGACAGGATCCATGATTGTGGAGTAATTCTTGTCAAAGTCTGAGACCAATCCTCTGATGGAATTCAGTACTTAGATCTGATGTGTAAGAAGCTGCATGCTGCTACATCTTTATATGCATAGGTTTTTTTGGTTTTATGTATATGTGAACTTCATGTCATATTTCCCCAGCTTTCTTCTTATGGGCATGGAGCAGGGAATCAACTCTATCAACCTCATGCGGAGCTAAAATCAGCGGCATTTGCTGATCTAACCCCGGTCACCCACGGACCCAGCTGGCTCCCATCAGACGACATCATGCCAGGGTGAAGTAGGGTGGAACCAGCACACCAGCTTCCCATCTTGCCATCTAATCTATGAGGGGAAGCCACACATGTCCCACGTGTGCTCACACTTCCCCTATGTAATTGCCCTTTCGAAGATGCGGGCAAAGTGATTCCCCACAGCCCACAATGAAATGGAGCACCACCGCCTCCTGCCAGTAGCCGTCTTAAATTTCAGTCCAGATTTTCAGAGTTATCTCAAGTCTCATACCAATTTAGTTTCAGCAACAGGGAGAGCTCATTTTAGAGTGCATCTATACTATAGAATTAATGACATTTGACACCACTTTGACTGCCATAGCTCAGTAATATGGAATCACGATAGTTATAATTTTGCTTCTTTTGTCAAAGTTTCTTGTGCCTCAACAATCTGAGTCTGAAAGTCTGGGATTCTTGCAAGATTATACAGTGAGTTTCCATGACCAAGAAGGGAATTGAGCCCTAGACTCCAATTGCAGTCCAGTGCTCAAACCACTATACCATGGTAACTCCGTAGCATAGGTTGTTAGTCTTAGATGATGTTACAAATGGCATTTTTTTCCTATGACAGAGATCCATGCTTACTCAGATGCCCATGCAGTTCTCCTGAACACATGTCAATTCCCATTCATTCCAATGGACAGGTGCAATTCATCTAGATAAGAGAATGTGTGAACATGCTTTAGTTCCATTTCAACCAATCAAACAAAAAGGAAAGCCATTCTCTACAAAGGAGCACCCTCATTTTGGAACAATTTACTCAAAAAACATTTCTGGCTAGGTATTATAAATATCCACTTTTATTAACCATATATTTATTGTACAGTCCTTGAAATCAACAAACTTGTCAAATTGATTTCAGTAACCCCCCCCCCCCCCCAATGGGACACAAGCTATTATTTGGGCAAAATTATGCATATTCTTCCTTCATATACCCCTTGCCTGGATCAAGAAGGAAAGGAAAAGGAACAAAAAAACACAGCCAAGCCATTGAGCTAGCAAGCAAGCAGAATACCTTGGGAATCTTATTCTCAGAGTCAGAAGGCAGAGAGAAGGACAGTGGAGAAGTTGATTCCCTGGATCTTGATGCTATGGCGCAAGGTGAGTGCACCCTGGTTGGAGATAGAGGCTGTGTTACAGTTGGAGTCCTGGATCTTGAAGAGGATGGGCAAGCTCTGAAGTTTGAGTAAATTGAGGAAGAATTTGCTTGAGAAAAAGGAGTGTTAATATTACAGGCTGGAGGAATAGGTGATCCTGTGCCTGTTTGAGAAAAGGGCTGGCAAGGTGCTGATAAATGGGCATCTGGATCCTTAGCAGAAGCATGTCGTAAACGTCCCATAGATTGGTTGCTAGAATGTCTCTGAGCTGGAGAGAGGCAAACTTTCTTTGAAGTGGGAGAAACTGAGTCCCTTTGATTGAAAATAGGCATCGACACAGGAATGGATTTGGCAGTGAACATGGGCGAGTAGGTGCTTATCTTCTTAGACTTTTCAGCTCCCTGTGTTCTGTTAGCAGGGGAGAGGGCCCCTTTTCTTGACCCGTGGGGAGGTAAGGAAAAATTGGGTGATTTGGGCAGTAAAAGAGGAGATACCGTTGTTTTTCTGTAGGATGAAATTGTTGGGGACAAAGGACGTAATTTGTCAGGAGAGAGTGCCCTGGCACTGAGATGCCTTTTAGAGGACAATGCTCTTGTTCCAAGATCAGGACTGAATTTTGGGGACAACGATGTGTGATCTGGCACATGAGAAAATACTGAAAGTTGGTATCCATCTTGGTTTGGAGAGGCAGACCTAACAGAAGAAAAACTTGAGGAAGATTTCTTGGGAGTTGGAGGAGTTGTTTTCAACTTTGGGTCAATTGTTGGTGTTGACGAGCCTAATGAACAGGGAGAAAGGGTGACAGGACAAGACGCAGGAGAAAATGGCCTTTTAGGAGAGGATCCTGACTTCAGAATAGCAGTCAAAAAAGACAGCCTTGTTGGGAGAGGGGACTGAATGCCAGAGGTCAAAAGATTTCCACTTGATGACATTTGGCTACAAGGATTGTTTACACTATATATGGTGGAGGAAGAACCATACAGAGGGGAAGACAGAGGCTTTGGACTAGGAGATAATAAGTGGGTTGTGATTGAGATTGGAACCACGGACCATGTGGTAAGTTTCTTGGAAGGAAGAGGAGAAACAGCCCTAGGAGATGATCTCTGAAGCACATCTACTGAACTGAGAACTTGTGATGGATGCGGTGAGTCCTTGTGAGCTAAAAGCGGTGGGGAGGGGGTCTCAGTTAACTTGTGAGGACCATTACCTAGGAACCCACTAGTTAACTGAGCACTGTCTGAAAGGTCATCAAGTGGAAAGGAAGGTGTTTTGAGTATGGAAGAAGGTAAACTGGAAGATGTGGAAGAATGAAAATAAGTAGATGACTGATGAACAGAGGATCCATTTGCAGCCTGCCATTGGCGATGGGATTCTTGCATAGAAGAAGCTTCGTAAGCAGCAGAAAAGGGCAATTCATGGTTGACTTTCATGTTAGTTGGAGAAAGGAAATGGGCAACAGGTGATTTATAGGAAGGATGATCAGAGGTAGACAGAGGAGAAGTTAGCTGGAAAGGAAGAAAAGAAAAGTAGGAATGTTAAAACAAAGTAGAGTTTGTAATATTTTGAAAATTATGCATTCTGTGTTCATATGAATTACATTTGTTCCATCGTTTAACAGCAAGACGCCTTTTAAAATTATTTTTACAAAGCATGGTGGGTTGCTAAGTGGTTAATATTAAATTATCTGTGCACATAATTACTTGGTGTTTGGCTTTATTTTATGTCCATATTCATTACATTTGTTTTGTGCTTTAACAGCAAGACACCTTTTTAAATTATTGTTGCAAAGCATGGTGGGCTGCTAAGTGATTAATATTAAATTATGTGTACATAATTGCTTGGTGTTTGGCTGTATTTTAGTTCAAAAAAAGCTATTAGTTATGTGCTTAGCTGTATTTTCTTCCAAAAAGCTATTAGTTATGTATGGTTTGTGCTAATTTAGTTCATACCACTGCAAAAATAAAGCAGTATTTCAAAAGTTTCACACAATGATCACTGATATGATTAGAAGTCAATGAGATGTTTTTATAAAGATTCCAAAGGCTTCAATTTTTAAAAGTTCAACTTCAGAAACAGCTCTATAAGCAGAAATGTTATGTAGATAAAATTAGAAATGGACTCTACAGCTGCAGTTGAACCCAGCTATTCAAGTGTAAATCCCAAAGAGGTTGCATATATAAGAATTGAGGGGACTCAGTACAGTCCATAGTGCCATTTTCCATTCTGTTTTCCTATGAAAAGGAATGCTGTGTAAGGGATTTCCAAGCAACATACAATCAGATTATCATTACAGAAATATTTTTTGAAGCAATGCAGCATCTGTTATATTTATATGGAATTCTATGCATGCTGCCATTGTTCTGTATGTGAAAATTCTCCATACAAGCATCAGGATTGCATTTACGAATACTCTGTTATTTCATTAAGGTACGGGGGGGGGGGGTGTATGACGAGATTTACTCATCTGTACCTAATGTTAATTGATGCTAGTCCTCAATTAAGAGCTTCTGCTGCTGATAATCACTAAGAATAGAGAAATAAACACCTGCAAAACAGATGCATGGAAAAAGAACCCAGCAATCTTTCACAGTACAGACTGAAAAAGGATATTTATGAAAATTCAATACCAAACTTCACTTGTTTGTGCTTTCTTTTTCTTGCACTGTTTCACTTCTATTCCCTGTTTTGGAGGTTAGCATGGACAAATATTCACACATTCGCTTTTTTAAAAAGCGACCAATTATTTCTGTTAGTTTTATGAAGAAAATTCTTCATAAAACTAACCGAAATAATTGGTCTATTTTTTAAAAAGTGAATGTTCTGAGGTGCTTCTGTTTCTTGCAGCCTCACTCACTGGGGGGGGACAGGGTAGGAAACACCATGCTTCTCAGATTTGATCACCAGCAGAGCAAACCTCAGCATGGCTGCTGGCTGTTAAGATAGATGGAGTTTAGGCATTTCTGAGTATACCATGATCTTAAACATGAATTCAGGACAGTTACAAATGTGCAAGTCTAGCTTACACAGGTATCATCAGGGTGTACATCTCTGATATTATAAGGGATTGTTCCTTGATTTCAAGATTTGGCCCTGACATCTCAGGGCATGTGATAGCCCTGATCTGGCAACCTTAGGTGGCAGTTAGGCAGAAGGATAGCAAAAGAGACCAGCCCACCAATATACCTGTCAACATTTGCAAACCCAAGGCAGATGGTTCATAGCAAACAAACACATAGTCACAGTCCCCAACATAGAATCATTATGAGCCAAGGGGCTCAGTTTCAAATTGGAAAAGGTCTTGAATACAGATGAGGTGAAGGACATAGAGTAAAGCCAAAGCATAGTGAGAAAATCTAGGTGTAATCTATACCAATGTTCACTACAGCATCTTCACTACAGCATACAAAACCACGTGTGATAGCCCTGAAGTCTTTGCATATTTACTCAAGTGAGGCAACACCCCATTGACTAGCTTCAAAATGACGTTCTTCTGGAATCCTAATTTCACATCCGTCACATGTGATGGCACTAACTCTAGTCATTTCTAAATCTTTCTTCACTTACTCAGAAGTATGTGATGAGATATGTAGGATTGTTGCCATTTTCTATGTGGAAAGGAATAAGTGAAAATATTCAGTCTTAACTACAGCAGCCTTTAAACCGTCAACATGTTTGGACCTCAACTTCCAAAATCCTGTACAATTTGTTATGCTGCCTGGGGCTTCTCAAAACTGGAGGTGAAAATGTTGAGAATACCAGATCTATAACAGCAGTGGGTATAACATAATTGTAAGTCCCTATCAGCCCTATCCAACATACCCAATGGAGAGGAAAGCTGGAGGCTGTTGTTCCAAAACATCTGGAGGGCTGCCCCATTCACCACTGACTATCAAAACCTCTCCATGGTTCCACACAAGATCTCCTAACCCCAACCTAGTAATTCAAAGCATTGATCCTTTGGTGTTTTGCATGCAAACCTGATGCTATATTTATGATCCTTCTGCAAATCCCACATAGAAATTTCAATATGTTTATCTATATAAATAAAAATGTAATGTTCGTTTGTGGGATTAACAGAACTCAAAAACCACTGGACGAATTGACATCAAATTTGGACACAAGACACCTAACAACCCAATGTATGTCCTTCACTCAAAAAATTGATTTTGTCATTTGGGAGTTGTAGTTTCTGGGATTTATAGTTCACCTACAATCAAAGAGCATTCTGAACCCCACCAATGATGGAATTGAACCAAACTTGGCACACAGTTCTCCCATGGCCAACAGAAAATATTGGAAGGGTTTGGTGGGCATTGTCCTTTGGTTTTGGAGTTGTAGTTCACCTACTTCCAGAGAGCACTATGGACTCAAACAATGATGGATCTGGACCAAACTCTACACGAATACTCAATATGCCCAAATGTGAACACTGGTGGAGTTTGGGGAAAATAGAATCTTGACATTTGGGAGTTGTAGTTTCTGGGATTTATAGTTCACCTACAATCAAAGAGCATTCTGAACCCCACCACTGATAGAATTGAGCCAAACCTCCCACACAAAACCCCCATGACCACCAGAGTGGGCCACAGCAAGGCATGGCAGGGGACTGCTAGTTTATTTATACCAAGAAACCAAAATAGGGACATTCTCCTCCTCTCCAAATGTATGTCCATGACAATCTGTGAGGTTGGCTAGGCCAAGCTGTTCCTCTTTCAGCTTATAGCATGACCTAAGTAGAAAGTTCACTCCAGGTTCCTTTAGTCAAAAAGAATACTGTGCCCAATTCTGGGCACCACAATTGAAGGGAGATGTTGACAAGCTGTATCCAGAGAGGTAAGGTAAAGGCAGTCCCCTGACATTAAGCCCAGTCATGTCTGACTCTGGGGTGTGGTGCTCATCTCCATTTCTAAGCCGCAGAGCCAGCATTGTCCGTAGACACCTCCAAGGTCATGTGGCCGGCATGACTGCATGGAGCACTGTTACCTTCCCGCCGGAGCGGTACCTATTGATCTACTCACATTTGCATGTTTTCAAACTGCTAGGTTGGCAGAAGCTAGGGCTGACAGCGGAAGCTCATGCCGCTCCCCAGAATCGAACCTGCGACCCTTCGATCAAAGAACTCAGCAGCTCAGTGCTTTAACCAACTGCGCCACCGGGGGCCCAACGTATCCAGAGAAGGGCGACTAAAATGATCAAGGGTCTGAAGAACAAGCCCTATGAGGAGCAACTTAAAGAGCTGGGCATGTTTAGCCTGAAGAAGAGAAGGCTGAGAGGAGACATGATAGCCATGTATAAATATGTGAGAGGAAGTCATAGGGAGGAGGGAGCAAGCTTGTTTTCTGCTGCCCTGGAGACTAGGACGTGGAATAATGGCTTTCAAACTACAAGAAAGGAGATTCCATCTGAACATCAGGAAGAACTTCCTGACTGTGAGAGCTGTTCAGCAGTGGAACTCTCTGCCCTGGAGTGTGGTGGAGGCTCCTTCTTTGGAAGCTTTTAAACAGAGGCTGGATGGCCATCTGTCGGGGGTGCTTTGAATGCAATTTTCCTGCTTCTTGGCAGGGGATTGGACTGGATGGCCCACAAGGTCTCTTCCAACTCTATGATTCTATGATTCTAAGTGAAGAATATATTCATCTGTATCCATCTCTCTAACTTTATATCTTGCTGACATGCTGACCTATAATTCCTATCCTTTCGATTGGCTGTGCTAATTGAGTTTGTGGGTGTTGTAGTCCACCAGAATTGTAGGGCTCCAGATTGGAGAATGCAGGTTTGCATCATGATTTCAGAGCTGCAATGTCAAATTGAAAATGTCAAGCAGATCTAACATCCTTAGTTCTGTTCTGCCAACTACTGTTGCGGTGCTCTGCTCCTTTGCTTGATGTCCCCCTGGCAAAGGCACATCAAGAATAACAAAGTATGAGTGATATCAAATCATCATTTGCACTCTCCCCAAATCCAGGGAGAGTGCAGATGAGCTCCCTCTGTCAGCTCCAGCTGACATGAGAGAAGTCTCCGACAAGGATGGTAAAACATCAAAAACATCCGGGCATCCCCTGGGCAACATCCTTGCAGACAGCCAATTCTCTCACACCAGAAGCGACTTGCAGTTTCTCAAGTAGCTCCTGACACAACAAAAAAAATCATAAAGTAGGAGGAGCCGTGACTAAATAAAACTGCAGCCAAGAGCAGTATAGATAGACAGATTTCCCTAATGATGACAAAAGAATGATTTTAACTCACACCCATTCACATCATTATAATGCATTTCAAGAACATGGTACCTGAGCATGTTTGGGATGAGTGGAAGGGCTGTACAGAGGGTCAGTATGAAGACATGGCTGTGGAGCATTCACTTGTCGTATTGTCTCACTCCTGGGAGATATACTGGATGTAGGTGAATGTTCAGTTCTTTCTATTCCATAGCCATTGCGCATAGCAGCTTTTGTGTCTTCATCCGAGTCCGTAAAGAAGACAAACTCTGCTTTGAAAAGGTCTTCCTTGTCCATTCCGCCCCTGCTTGTGTTATGCTCTTTGCTTTGGAATCGATTCTGGCTGCTGTTTCTGCTACTGTTTCCTTTCTTTCCGCTTCCTGTGGCCTCTTCTTCAGCACCTGCTCTATGCTATAAAATAAAATATCCCATGCATAATTTACTTACCAGAAGAGGAACTAGGATCTTAATTCCAGCCTAATCCTGCAGCGAATTGGAAAATAAATCCAGTAACTTGGGACCTTGCAAACAGGAGCTGGATCAGGAAAAATAAATCCAGTGCATACAAGGAGGTGGGAAGTAATTTCTTGGAATGACAGTTTCCTATTGATAGCCACTACTGCCTTTAACCAACACAAGTGTCTGTCTGGTGGTCATTTATTGTACTTTTCTGGATACATAAAAGCCGTAAGAAAAGCAGGCAAATGAATTTGCACCATATTAAGAGCAAGACAGAGAATGGGGTGTCGGGTCTTTCTATGGGGTGGGAAGCGAGACTGGATTCTGTCTGTGGGATAGACAGCAACCAAACAATGGATCCCACGATAATCAGAGAAACAAATCTGGGACGGGCCCTATATTTCTGAAGGGAACAAAAGGCTTCAAAACCAGGACATCCCTTAAACAGGCCAATCAAAGAGAATTGCAGTTGGGGTGTACTTGTAAGAGTGAGCCCTTTTTTTAGTAAAAGGCCTAATTGTTGTGCTGTAGGAACTCATTTTCCGGTCCTTCAGATCCTTGTCTTTAATTTCTTAAATGTGAGAAAATGGCATGGTGGGGCTCCAGATACACACAGTGGGCAGAGGCCATTCAGCAATTTGCCTTGAACTTCTGACAAAATGTACTACTGTCACACAAGAGACTCTACGTAGAAGGAAACAGCCCAACTGACCTAGCACCACATAATGTATTAGGATTTCCTTTGGGAAAGTTAATGTTCCCAACCAAGACACCGTTATAGGGTTTTAGATAATCAAATAGTAGAGATTGCTGGCAGAATGTCATGGTCTATCCAGCAAAGCATGCTTCCATTGTATTTCATAGGTTTGGCTGCTGTGTGTGTAACACCTGTCGTATGTCTCTGGCACACTACAAGCTCACTTTAGATAGGTTTAGGCTAGAGATCACCACTGACCTTTCACTTTCTATTTTTGCTATGACAAGCTCACATTGTATATTGCCTACAATAGCCTTTTCTTTACAGTTAAATGACTATGAGTCAAACTACAGAATGGAGCCCCCAGTGGCACAATGGGTAAACCCTTGTGCCGGCAGGACTGAAGACCGATAGGTCGGAGGTTCCAATCTGTGGAGAGAGTGGATGAGCTCCTTCTGTCAACTCCTGTTCCCCATTCGGGACATGAAAGAAGCCTCCCATAAGGATGGTAAAACATCAAAAACATCTGGGCATCCCCTGGGCAACATCCTTGCAGATGGCCAATTCTCTCACACCAAAAGCAACTTGCAATCTCTGAAGTCACTCCTGACACGAAAAAAAAAAACTTTTAGAATTGAGTTTGCCCTATATCAGTGGTTCTCAACTTGTGGGTCCCCAGGTGTTTTGGCCCTCAACTCCCAGAAGTCCCAACCAGTTTACCAGCTGATAGGATTTCTGGGAGTTGAAAGCCAAAACATCTGGGGACCCACAGGTCAAGAACCACTGCCCTATATGGTTTCCCCCCTCTTACTTATTGCAAAAGAATGCCTGTGGGATCTCTGCCCATCTCTTGATTAACAGTTTTACCATATCTTATGGAGCATTTTGCAAATATTCTAACCACAGCAAGCAATGCACAGGCAGAGTGGTAACACGACTCATTCCTCTTCTATAAGAACGTATTTTTTCTTTGGGGACTGAAATCCGTTAAAGAAGTGTGACAGTGCATTTTTACACATATTATATAACATTATAATTTTCAAACTGTACTTAAATTTAGTGATCATGTAGTAGATGGAAAGAGACACATTTTGAGGCTATTGGAAAGATGTTTCCTACCTCCTGTCCTTTTTACAGAGCAAACCATTTTTTGTTAAAAAGTGCCTTACTCTGTTTCTAGTATTTTCCTGGTAGTTCTTATCCACAGGTCTTCCTCCAATGCCAATCATAGAAGATGGAGCATCAGTAATATGGTGCTGAGTTGGTAGCCTTCCAAATGCAGGAACAAATGTGAACTTCAGGAATCCTGATTCAGAAGGAACCTATAATATACATTTAATGCATGCTTAGGAGAGGACGTGAACTTCTGCTGTCTGCACCAAACCACCTTGCAGCCACTTCATTGGAGCGAATAACAAAACATTTTCTTTGAACAATATATAGATATACCATATATACTTGAGTATAAGCTGAGTTTTCAGCCCTTTTTAATTGCTGAAAATGCCCCCATTGGCTTATAGGCTTATAGGGTCCTGGTTGGCTTATATTCGGCTCAGCTAATACTTGAGTATATAGGTTATCAGTGTTGGACAGGTCTTATCTTAAATTACAGTTTTAATATTAAAAATATTAAATATTCAAAAACTTTTAACCTACTGATGCCTCAATTAATGTAATTTTATTGGTATCTATTTTTATTTTGAAATTTACCAATAGCTGCTGCATTTCCACCCTCATCTTATACTCAAGTCAATACGTTTTCCGAGTTTTTTGTGGTAAAATTAGGTGCCTTGGCTTATATTTCGGTAGGCTTATACTCAAGTATATACGGTAGTCATCTTCATTATAGTCATATTGTGTTTTGGTCATATCTCCCAGAGTATATTGATTTTATTCCATTTATCAAGTCAAAAATAATCTCAGGCTTTTGTTGTGATACATTCAAAGAGTTTTAAAAAGGAGTAGAAAGTCTGCCTTTGGGTCATCTTACTTTAGGGATGACTTGAAAACAAACAACAAAAAACAAACCTGACATTTCTATTCCCCCCCCCCCATTTTCCCATCACTTCATTATTATAAAACAAAACAAAACAATTAAATAGGGAGAAATCTGAAACACGTACATCAAGTGTTTTGATTTGTAATACTAACAACCATTTATTTTGAAATCTCATGGCAAATCTCATGTATCTTGTTGTCTACCAAAAGAAAATCCAATTAACAAATGATGAAAGTTCAACTTTTATTCATATGTATTGTCGAAGGCTTTCATGGTCGGAATCATTGGGTTGTTGTCGGTGTTTCGGGGTATATGGCCATGTTCACTTTTATTCATAGTGATCAAGAACATTTTCATTCAACTTGATCAGGAAAATGTTCATCAGAACATGCTGCAGCACTAGATCACCCAGCTCCAACTTCCTATCACCCTTTTATATTTTAGTTATGTGGAGGAAGAATGCTTAACAAGTCTAGCACCAGATGTTTTGACTTGAGGTCCTATCATCTGTTGGTATGCTGGCCAAAACCGATAGGAGGTGCTGTCTAACAATATTGGATCGGCCAGACCTTCTATTTTATTAATATTTTTATAGTGCCTTTCTTTATTTCCTTCTTTCGAGCAAAAGAAAATGGATTACCTCAACAACATTTGATTAAAAAAAGAGGGACAGGACACAGAGGCAATAGTCTTTATTTGGCTTGTAAATATTTCTGTCCTTTTCCCAGCAGTTAAACAATAGGGCTTTGTGGTATTTCAGAGACTAACATATTTATTGAGGCATGACCTCATTTTGTCAGCTGCATCCTTGTTGTTTGTACATTACATATGGTATGAGCAGAAGAGGGGGTTGTTATCACAAAATGAGACCAGAAGCCGTTGCAATAAAAAAATATTATTCTAGGAAATACCAATATATAAAGTATCTGTCACTCATGTTTGGGACCAGAAGATGCCTCAAAGTTTAAGCTGTAAAAATGTGATGTTATTCAATTATTACATTAGAATCCTGATGTCTTAGCTGCTAGCTGTCCATGAAGAAGAAGGATTTTTAGGTCCTCATCAGACACAGGATCCTCCTCCACTGCCCTTGTTTTTATGCACTTTAAAAGCAGTTTAAAGACAAAGTCTATCACATAATAATAATAATAATAATAATAATAATAATAATACTTTATTTGTATCCTGCCACCATCTCCTCAAAGGGACTTAGGGTGACTCACAGAAAGCACTCAATAGTGCAACAAAATACAAATACAACAAAATACAGAAAGGTAAAATTAATAACAATGAAATTGATCCAATTATACTTAAAACAGTAAAACTATTTCCAGTCATTTCCCATGGGACTCCATCTTTAAAATGTGTTTAAAGTGTGTAGAAACAGAGGTTTGACGAGTTGGATAGATATTGCCTTTCGAGCTCCTAATATGCACAGCAATGGTTAAAGATACTTATTTACATGTGGAATGGGAATTGTCAGATAGCCCCATTTTAGATCATTTTAGTGATGTTAAAGAGTGGGTGTTCCTGTGGGCAGTCTCAAAATGAGCCTAAATGCTCCCTTTCTGACTAGTAATCCTCTTTCTTGAAACTTTTGCAGAATTTTTTAGTACAATTTATTCTTCAGGAGGAACCCCTGATGACACAGTGGGTTAAACCACTGAGCTGTTGAACTTGATGACTGAAAGGTCACAGGTTCAAATCTGGGGAGCAGGGTAAGCTCCCACTATTAGGCCCAGCTTCTGCCAACCTAGCAGTTTGAAAACATGCAAATGTGAGATATAGCTCTGGCAGGAAGGTTACGGTGCTCCATGCAGTCATGCTGGCCACATGATCTTGGAGATGTCTACGGACAATGCCAGCTCTTCGGCTTAGAAATGGAGATGAGCACCAACCCCCAGAGTTGGACACGACTGGACTTAATGTCAGGAGAAAACCTTTTCCTTTACCTATTCTTCAGGAATTGTGAAAATTCAATATATCACTACTTTACTGTGACTATATTTTCTCCCTTTCATAGACCCAGATTTCAGACTCCTATAATTGTGAAGTTTCCTTTTTTAAAAAGAAGAATGCAAAATGGGTGGGGACTACACTTGTCCATGTGATAGCTCAGAACGCGGAGGACCACAGTAGAAACAGTCATAATATGTTGTGTGTGATGGAGTTGAAAATATTGACTATTTTATAAATAGACTGGAATGAAACACTATGAAGAGGACAATTCCCCATTCCCAACTTCCCCTTTCCCCATGGGAAATATTTGGAAAACACAGTTGTGTTCCAGAGAGGTGCTTTCATAAGAAAATTGTACTGGAAGTGCTTTTGAAAATGCTCTTCATCTTAAAGGATTATTTGGCAATGGATCTTTCATTAAAAGGTGTGCAAATCTCAATTTGTTCAGATAAGGCAGTGGTTCTCAACCTGTGAGTCCCCAGATGTTTTGACTTTCAAGTCAGAGAAATCCTAACATCTGGTAAACTGGCTGGGATTTCTGAGAGCTGAAGGCCAAAACACCTATTGAGAACCACTGAGATAAAGGATACTCACCCTGTAAACTATTCTCAGTAGTCACAGAAGCAAGTTCTATCTCAATTCCATGAAGCTAATAAAGATGGGAAGCCCACCTCAAAAAAAGAGAGACGTTTTCCTCAATTCTAACTTAGAACTATAGCTCCATGATTGTACAGGGAATGAAAGTAAAACATGGAAAACCCAAGAACACAAATCAAAGTCAGCTTCACTTTCTCTCAAATTCATTTTTTAATGTGAAATTGATGACGAGACAGAGGCGGCCCTAGGTAATTTTCAATGGTAAGCAAACAGTATTTTGCCCCCCCCCCCCACCAATCACTGATATATATTTTCTGTTCGTCGTGGGAGTTCTGTGTGCCATATTTATTCAATTCCATCATTGGTGGAGTTCAGAATGCTCTTTGATTGTAGGTGAACTATACATCCCAGTAACTACAACTCGCATATGTCAAGGTCTATTTTCCTCCAAGAGTGCCTCAAGAGCTCCCCTGGGCAAAATCAACTATACTGCAAATGCTTACTTTGCATAATGGGTTGAACCGCCCCTGTGAAGAGAATTGCAAATTTGGAAAACACTTATTAAAAGCATCTATGACCCCATTTAGGCTGGATCTACATTGTCATATAACCCAGTTTTCGAATCCAGATTGAAGTGCATTGAACTGGATTATATATATAATCTGCATTATATATCTGCCATATATAATCAGTTCAATCTGCATTATAATGGCAGTGTAACACTCCATCTATGGTAGTGTAGACTAATATAATCCAGTTCAAAGCAGTACAATCTGCATTATATGGGTCTACACTGACCATATAATGCAGTTCAAACTGCATTATATGGCAGTGTAGATGATGCCAAAAATCATCCTTATCTGTGATAACCAAAATCCATAATTGGTTTATAATTGCAGTGATCTGTTTTAAAAACCGAAGGACAAATATTACAATTTACATTTAAGAGATTCATTCAAATATCATCCACTCTGGATATCAGAATTATTAAAATAAAGTTATCAGTTTTCCGAATCCTGACCTGTAGGGTATTCTGCCCCCCTTCTCTCTCCCTCCCCCCCCCCCCCTCCGGCAGCTATTGGGATGATCAAGTTTGTTAGTCGTAGCTGGCTCACAAGCAACACAGTGGGGACATTTGGGTATCTCTGGGGAGAGGGGAGTTTGTCACTTTTGCCTGAGGTATTGTCATTGTTCTTTGCAAGCTAGCCTAATAGGCAAGGAACAAAGGAAGCCACCAACTGGGTAAACTCTCTGTGGATGTAGGAAGCATACCTACAGTAGCAAAATCTTAAGTGCCTCAGATAAAAGCCTAGAAAGCTATCTTTTAAGAAGAATGTGTTTATATATAATGATATGATGAAATCACCTATAGCTGAGGAATATGGAACATTATTTTGCCCCTGGCTATTCAGATATGGGTGAAGTCACTCTGTCTTGTTGGAAGTAACTTCAGCCCCAATTAATATCACCATGACTTGAAATATTTTTTTCTTCCTACATTTAATCAATGCAACAGTGCAAGTTCAGTCTTAAGCACGTCAACTTGAATGTTAGCCTTACTGAAGGCCTCATCACATTGAGGTCCTGAAGCTGAGTGACAGCGGGATAATCTTTGGGGCAGTGCGGCAAATCGGTGGGGCATTGGAGGAATCTGTGGGGAAGAAGAGGGATCCATGGGGTCACTCCACACCCCATATCACCCCCTTCCTCATCACATAGGGGAAGCTGTCACTGCCTGGCTTCCCCCCATGCTGTCCTCAGCTTACT